GCATATTTTTCTGATTCAGCACATTGAATATATCCTGCCACTCCTTTTTGGCCTGCCAAGTTTCTGTGGATAGGTCTGCTGCTAACCTGATCTGTCTTCCCTTGCAGGTTAGGGACTTTTTTTCCCTTGCTGCTTTCATGATTCTCTCCTTGCCTGAGTATTTTGTGAATTTGACTATGATATGCCTTGTTGATGGTCGGTTTTTGTTGAATCTAATGGGAGTTCTCTGTGCTTCCTGGATTTTGATGTCTGTGTCTTTCCCCAGGTTAGGAAAGTTTTCCACTATGATTTGCTCACATAACCCTTCTACTTCTATTTCTCTCTCTTCCTCTTCTGGGACCCCTGTGATTCTGATGTTGTTCCTTTTTAATGAGTCACTGATTTCTCTAATTCTTAAATCATGCTCTTTTGCCTTAATCTCCCTCTGTTTTTCTGTTTCATTATTCTCTATAAGTTTGTCCTATATATCACTGATTCTGTGCCTCATCCATCCTTGCCACTGCGGCATCCATCCGTGATTTCAGCCCAGTTATAGCATTTTTTATATCATTCTGACTAGTTTTTACTTCTTTTTTCTCTGCAGAAAGGGATTTTAATCTACTTTCGACCCCAGCTAGTATTCTTATTACCGTGATTCTAAATTCTGGTTCAGAAATCTTGCTTGTATCTGTGTTGGTTAAATCCCTGGCTGTCATTTCTTTGTGCTCTTTCTTTTGGGGTGAATTCCTTTGTTTTGTCATTTTGAAGGGATAAAAGGAATGAGGTAGAAAAATTAAAATTAAATTTAAAATATTAAAATTTAAAAATTAAACACACAAATCGAATAAATGATGCTAGAACCTACGTGTGTTTTGTTCTGGGTTTTGGAAGTGGTTTGACAGATTAGAGAAAAAAAGGGTGGGGGGGAATCATTTGAGAGTTTGAAAAAATGAATACACTGAAGTAGACTAAGATGATGGGAGTAAAACAGAATTTGGAAAAATTTACACAAAAGTAAAGAATATAGAAAAAAATTAAAAATGTTTGTAATAGAAATTTAAAGTAAAAATGAAGTCTTTCTGCATTCAAGAAAAAGAAATGAAAAAAAAAAAGGAAATCGTTTGAAAATTTGAAAAAGTGAATACGCTGAAGTAGACTAAAATAAAATGATGGAAGTAAAATAGAATTTGAAAAAATTTACACAAAAGTAAAACCATAGTAAAAATATTAAAATATTTTTAATAAAAATTGAAAATAAAAATGAATTTTCTGTTTTCAAGAAAAAGTGAAAAAGAAAAAAAAAAGAAAATTGAATAGATGGACCTGCTAATAGATTGAAATAGGACTGAAATTACTTTGTTTTCCCCTAGAAGTTAGACTATGAAGCACTTTATAGTCCATAAACTAAGTAGGCAGTGAGACTTGTGTTCTTGAAGAGCGAGGTTGGCCCAGTTGGGCGGGGCTCAGTGTAACATCTCCGCTCTCCACTAGATGGCGCCGCTAGCCTACTGAGGTGGATTGTTGTGTCACTCATAGGTGCGTATGTGCATGCTCGGGAGCAGTGAAAATGGCGTCACCCAGCCACCCAGTCTCTAGTATCGGAACTCTGTTCTCCCTGATCAAAAATCATGCACCTGTCCTCTGTCTTCAGCTTTCGTCCACTCCCTGCTTTTTCACTGTGTGTGACCAGGCCCCAGGCAGTACCTCTCTCCTGAGTTTTGTCTCAAATGTGGCTGTTTTCCCCATCCCCTTACTTCTGAAGGACTGCGGCTTTGACCTGTTCTTCCCCTCTGTGGGAGGGTTTTACCGACCAATGGCCGAATGAACAATGGCCAAATGTTGGCTGCACCCAGGAACGCTTGCTGGACCCTGCTGCTGCCGGTGCCTGAGACCGTGGCCATGTGCCAGCCTGCCCCAGAAAAAATTCTCAAGATAGTGTAGCAGCAGCATTTCAGGGATTATGGAAAATCACAACACACATCTGGCACCTGGCTTCACCCTTAACGACCTTGTTCCAGTACCAGTGAATGTGGCCGTTTTCTGGGGTCTACTGGGACCAGGTGGCTTCAACAGTCTCTACCAAATGGCCTTCCAGCAGTGGAACCGCTTTCCCCAGTGTGGCCCGAGAACCTCCTGGACCCCACTCTGTTCCTGGGGATTCGCCCTTTCCACCAGAGCACCGCCAGGTATCGAGCTGTGGAGTTGCAGCCTTTGCGCTCCCCTTGTTTACAGTCTTAATGGAATTTAAACCCTCTCCTTTCTCCTTTCTCCCTTGTTAGTTTAGTTCCTGCAGCTGTTTCCAATATTCCACTTTCTCTCCAGCTGCTTTTGGGGAGGGGTGCTTTTCCCTTATTCTACCACCCTCCCCAGTCTCCATCCTCTCTCTGCTTGCAAAAGTGGGTCCCTGTCTGCTGCAGCCTCTTACTCCCCAAGTTCACCTCTCTGTGCTGCATACCTGCTGAATTCTGTGGTTCAGGTTGTGCAGATTGTTGTGTTAATTCTCCAATCAGTTTTCTAGGTGTATAGGATGGTTTAGTGATGGTCTGGCTGTATTTCATGGATGCAAGACACACAAAAAACTTCCATGC